TCCAGTTGATGAGGTTGTTACACCTCATCAACCGGAAGGAATCCCTTCCGGTTGATGAGGTGTAACAGCCCCATCAACCAGAAGGGATTCCTTCCGGTCGATGGTGTTGTTGTATCTCATTGGCCGGAAGGATATCCTTCCGGTCATGTGGGAGCGACTCCCAAATCCCCTCAAGCATGAGGGGTGGTTCGGGGATCCGACTCCCAAAAATGCAAAAAAAAATATTTAAAAAAATAAAAAATCATTGGATGGCTGACTCCCAAAGTCGGCCATCCATTTGGAAAAACGACTCCCATTCGACGGCGGATGACCGTATTTGGGAGTTGGCGACTAAAATTTGGGAGTCGTTTTTCCAAGCCCCTATTTTTAATTCTTGTGAGAGATGAAAACCACATTTTTTTGTTTGGGAAACCAAGAGACTGTAGGGGGCACTGTGATAAAATTTCAAGACCAGGAATGAGGAAGAGCAACCAGAAAAATAAATCTCAAGAGATCAAAAAGAACGGTTGAGAAACCCTCAAAGGAGTTTTAGCTGCTAGCTTGGTGGCGGAAAAGCGCACACACTACAAGAAGCTGTCTCCTTTAGCGACCTCAGGGAACATTTTACAGAAGAACAGATGAGTTTCATTTCTTTGTCCATGAATCTTGTCTATAGCTATTGCAACATGGAGGGACAAGTTGTGGGCAGAAGACAAAATGAATATTCAACTGAAGGGAGAAAAAACAAGTGCCAGGGGAGAGGAGGGAAAGAAAAGGACATTAAATTCCAACACACTATTTTCTGATGCAGGTGTAAGATGTTGTTTGCTGATACATGATTGAATTTGGCCTGTCAGATACCTAAATTTTAACACATTTGATTGCTGATTATGTTTACTGATATTGGAGGACTTTCTGTCACCTAAATTGCTTGATTCAGAAGGGGGTTCTAAACCCTATTGGCTGTTGAAAACTGGATCTTGATTGATGTTCACCAGCTAATAATTTTTGGGACTTCCTTCTAAATTTACATATTTAGACAACAGGAAGTTTGTCCATTGGCCTTTTGTGAAGCCCACCCCCTGATAGATTTTGTGTTGGAAATTATCTTCATCAACTTAGTTTAGATAATTCTATAAATACAAGATCAATCTTACTTCCTCCTCCTTTGAACATGCACACCCTGGCTGGCAGTGAAGAAGTGACTCAAATTGCAAAATGTTTTCATGCTGCAATTTGCCAAAGTCTAGCTGGTAGATTGAATCAGACAATTTGACCCCTTCGCTAAGAGAAAACATACACGGTCAGCGCTGAAGAATAGCCATCAGGGCATAGAAGTTAGAACCCACTGTCAGCATGGTCATACTTCATAGCATCTGGTTTTGAAACATGCATTGCCAGTGGTGAGATGGAGTCTGGACCAACTGCGGGTCCTGGTCCGATCATGACGTAGCCCCAAGCGGGTGCAAAGTTGTGTACCCAGCGTACCCCTGGGTGACATCGACGTTGCAAGGCCCCCGGGGGAGGCTACATCAACAGGGTAGTTGGTCAGCAACCACTCCAGGAACAATCACTTCACCATTGCAAAGAAGAAACCCACATCCAAGAAGAACGCAAAGAAACAGAACAAGCCAAGAATAGACCGTCAAGATCATGTCCCCCGTCAGCTCGCTTAACGAGGTCTTCCATTCTCTCCAAGAATCACTCTCGTCCATCACAAGTTGCTTTTGCCAACCAGGTCAGTTCTGCAGCCTGTAGATACAGAACTGCAATTCACTTAACCGAAATATGCTGAAACATTCGGTGGTTCTGATCTCCAGATGCCACCCTTAAGCTGAACGGACGAACGCTGAAAATAGGTGAACCACAACTCTCGAATTTGTCATCCAATCTGGTATGGTCGATTGACTTTTATTTCTAATGAACGATCTAGTCAAGCTGTTGGGAGAGGGTGGATTTTCGTACGTTTACCTGGCGCAAGATCCGTCGTCTGGTAGACTATTCGCATTGAAGAAGATCAGATGTCCGTTGGGAAGTGATAGCGTTAACGAAGCGATCAAGGAAGTGGAAGCGTACAAGTATGTTCGTCTCTACACGTCACTTCATTCCTCGCGAATAATGAAATTTTATGAGTGTATTCATCAACCCTCTACACAAATCTTTGCAGGCGATTCCGACATCCCAACATCATCAGATGTCTAGATTCTTGCGTCGTACAAGACAAGGATGGAGATGGAAAAGTAGTATAGTCAGTCCACTTTATCATTTTGCTTGAATAAGACATGAACTGAACCCTTGTGTTGTGTTTTTTTTTTTTTTATTCCAAAAAGTTTATTCCTACCCTATTATTCCAAAGGAAATTTACAAGATTTAGTGAATTTGCACACCGATCTAGCACCTTTACCAGAAAACGAGATATTGAAGTATTTTCTTGGGACAGCGCAAGCAGTATCAGCGATGCATGGCCATGTTCCCAAGAAGACGATCGTCTCTGATTCGTATCCGCCCAATGGCCTCGATCTCGATTCACCTGGAGGACTGACTACGCCGACTAGCATCACCGATCGGAAGGGCAAAAGACGACAAAATATGGAGGAGGAGCGGATGGAGGAGGAAGAGGAGGAAGAGGAAGGCTTAGGGAAGACTGAGGATGAACGGCAAGAGGCCCCCTTGATGGGCAATATGATCTCAAATCACAACACCGATCAAAACCACCATCATCAACCAGCTACTAAAGCCCAACGCAATTCCGGATCGATCGAGCCGTGGGCGCATCGTGATTTGAAACCGGCAAACGTACTCATCAGCGATGACGACCGACCTATCCTGATGGATTTTGGGAGCGCGATCAAAGCTCGAATCCCGATCCCCAACCGATCTATCGCTCTTCAACAACAAGATTTAGCTGCCGAGTTGAGTCACTCTTCCGCATCCCCAATGCCCAATCCATCAAGTCTTGATTGAGTGACTTATGACACTGACTGTTGTTCGCATCGACTGTTCAAATAGACATTCTTCGATGCCATACCGAGCGCCGGAATTATTTGATGTCAAGACGGGAGAAGATCTGACAGAAGCGGTCGACATATGGTCCTTGGGATGTGTGCTATACTGTCTAGCGTATGGGCATTCGCCATTTGAAACGACGGATACGGTCGAGCAAGGTGGCTCTATGGCGTTGGCAGTGATGAACGGCTCCTGGAAGTTCCCGAATACCAAAGGCTCGAATCCGAATCCTAATGGGAACAATAACAACTCGAATCAAAGTCTCCGGGTTTATAGTGACCGCTTTCAAGAGTTGATCAAATCGATGCTGGTGGTCGATCCCAAAGCCAGACCGACAATCTTCGAGGTCATCGATTCTGCTCAGGCCATCTTGGATCAACAGTCTCATCACCTTCCTGAATAAGTCGCTCGGTTATATTGTTATCTGCTTATTAATTACTTTGTTGTTTGCATTTCGATTATCTATCAGTCCTGTTTCCCCATCCCAATTATCGAAGTATCTTGGCTAGATGAGCTTGTTGTTCCAGAAGAAAAAAAAAGTATTATCAATATACAGATCTGATGCTGATAAACCCATTCAGAATCATTCCAAAAATGGCATATCAATTTGGTTGCATAGATATACATATAATAGAGAGTGTATGGCTAGCCGTCAAGTTAGATTGAGTGATAATATAATGTCAGTGCAATAATACAGTTTTTTATGGGAATTAAAGGTGAATAGACTGGTGAGCTGTTCTTGAGAGACTTTTGAGCTCTTGGCACAGATGCCCACTACCAAAAACATTATGGCCTGGGTTGGGATGATCCTGAACTGTCCACATTGTTAGAAAGATCATAGAAAATCAGCCCAAAGGGGTATCTTTTTTACTTATTCTGGACATGCATGTCCAATGGAATTGTGATGATCTACTGTATGAGAGCTGTGGCTCAAAGGTTAATCAATCCCAATTAACATTAAATCAAAGATGTACAAAAAAAAGGTGAGTATCAATGGCACTTTGATTACAAAACAAACAAATGCAATTCGAACAAAGAGAGCGGGATGTAGATAGATGAAGGGTATTATGATAAGCCAATGCAAGGTGTCTGTCAAGCGCTCAACCAGCTTGTGAGTTCCACTTAATATCTTGATTCTCTTCTGGCTCCAATGGATGATGTGCTAACTTCTATAGATCTGGTCATTGTCACTCAAAGGCTTCCTGCAGCAGTCAACATAGCTTTTGCTCATCCTGATTAAGCTAAACCAAATGGATACACAGTACTCCTCAATCCTGTCACGCATTTTCTCTGAATGGTTCATCTGCTAGTCTCTTCCACATCCTTTGAAGACCCTGAAGTTGTTGGAGCTTTCACGATGATGATGAAAATGAGACAGTTTGTGAAAGTTTACTGGATTCTTGCGGGCCGAAGATGGAAGTCTTCAGCTATCTTTTTTGCCCATCTCCGATTGGGATATCTTCCATTGGTAAGCAGTTCCTTTTGATCTCACCCGGTTTTCGTTCTTGAACCTCTATACATGTGTAGTGCGCTACTTGAGGGATGACTGACAGTGTGAGATGAGCGGGCAGCGTGTTGTTTTCTTCTCTGCTTTCTTTCGTTTTGAACACCATATGTGTTTCTTTGTTTTCCTTTTTTTGATTTTGTGGGTTGATGGTTGGAGTGAGATTGTGTTGGTGGTTGGTTCTGGTGTGTTCGATCGAAGGATCACCAACCGCCCAGAACAATCCATCGACTGACTGACTGCGGCCCCGCGAATGGATATTTATAAGCATGGCTGCCCTCCCCAGCACCAGTCATCAACACCTCATCCGGACTTAACAAATCGCTTATCAAACAACCAGAAAAATAGAACTATTATACAGTGACTTGAACCTGAAAAAAAAAAACGACGAAACAATGGGAAAGGACTATTACGCCATCCTGGGTATCCCTCGCTCGGCCGACGAAGCACAGATCAAAGCTGCCTACAAAAAGGTCAGTCAACCACACCCTTTCAACCATCTTTTCTTATTATGCTGCTTATGTTAATGACCAATTGCTAATATGTAAACACCATAACCTTCAAACTAGGCTGCCCTGAAATATCATCCCGATCGGAACGTCCAGGACCCCGAGACAGCCAACAAAAAGTCAGTTGACCGTCACTTGATGTTACTCCTTCTTCGACCAGCCATACTGACACATACACTGCTTCCTGTTGGTTTACCACAGATTCAAAGAGGTTTCTGAGGCGTTTCAGGTTCTGAGCGATAAGAATCAACGGGCAGTCTATGATCAATGTCAGTCGAATTTGATTTGCTAATCACACCCAAGAAAGGAAGAAGCTGATCAAGATAAACTTAATCCAATCAAACCACAGTCGGAGAGGATGGATTGAAGGGTGGAGGTGGACCACCGCCAGGAGCGGGCGGAGGGATGGGAGGCTTCCCGGGCGGCTCATTCCATTTCTCGAGTTCAGGAGGCGCAGGAGGGGGTCGACCGGAGTTTACACAGATGGATGCCAATGCGATTTTCGAAAAGATGTTTGGCGGGGCAGGGGCGGGAGTATTTGGAGGTGGCGGCGGCGGGGGCTCCCGACGAGGAGGCGATCCGTTTGCGGAGACGATGAACCTGGATGACATGATGGGTGGGATGGGTGGGATGGGCGGAATGCCCGGCGGATTCGCCTCCAGCTTCCCCGGAACTACACGACATTCTTCACACAATAATGGCAGACACTCCCCCGATGATGAAAAAACTCCAGACGACGTCATCAAACCTCTCGAACTCTCCCTCGAAGAACTCTATAAAGGCACCGTCAAACGGCTCCGCATCACTAGGAAACTCAGGGACGGTCGAAGCGCTGAGAAAATTCACGAAGTCAACGTTAAACCTGGATGGAAGGCTGGGTAAGGCTTTTCTTTTTTCTTTTGCTTCTTGGTATGCTCCATCTTTTGAGGCAAACAAAAAAAAAGACTGTGGAGACTAACTCATACACATTCATTTGATAATCACATACAGTACCAAGATCCGATATCCAGGGATGGGAAATGAAGACAGGAATGGGAAATCAGGTGCGGTCGTGTTCGAAGTAACGCAAAAGCCACATGCGCGCTTCACCCGAGAAGGGGACGACCTGATCTACGTGCACACGATCCCACTAGTGGAAGCCTTGACGGGGCCGTCGGCGGGCCAGAGTGTGAACCTAAGTCTGAAGCATCTGGATGGCCGGACGGTCTCGTTCAAGCTCCCGTCGATCGGGACCGCCGGCGGGAAGCCGATCCAGCCTGGCCAGGAAATCCTCGTCCCCGGCGAAGGCATGCCGATCACTCGTAAGGGCGCTAATAAATCGAAAGGCGACCTCAAGGTTCGGCTCAACGTCTCCTTCCCTAATTACTTGAACGCATCCCAAATCGATGGCGCTCGTCGTCTCTTTGGCTCTGGGACATAATCCTTCACATCCTCTTCTCCCAGTACAATCATCCCCCCCTCTTTCTTGTTCGCTCTTCTTCCCTCTACACATATCCTCTCTTCCTTTTTTTTAGTAGACCTGTTGCCGTTGTATGTAACCTTTTTGTTCATACATATATGATTTATATATATGCTGAGTCTCCTCTGTTGTTCTTGTTCTTGTTCTTTCTCTCTTACCAAAAAGTGATTTTTTTTTAAAAATCAAAAAAGAAAAATGAAGTGTATTTTAATATCTATTTTTTTTTTTTGCAAATTATTTGATAATTTTTATTTTAACCATTCTTCAGAACTCGACATGCACATAAGGAAAACGTTCTGATTTCCACAAAAAAAAGGGGGTACTAGAAGACAGCTAGAGACAGCTCCAAGCAACCATTAACCGTCCCGTCCAGAAAATGACGGGCGGTCTGAACGAGAAGAAGGTTAGGCAGAGGGAGCAAAAGTAGCGAGAGTCTCGACGACGAGTTCGAGGTCGCTCAAGAGATGATCCATCGACACGCGGGCCTGACGGAGCGTCAAAGCGGCGACGGAGATCTGGATGAAGGAAGTTGCTGAGCTGGTGGGAACGGTATGGCCGGCATGAATCGAGTTTTTGGTGATCGAGATCGAGCGACGAATGAAGTGGGGCGACTTGACGGGCTTGTCGGGGCTGATCGTCTGGACTATTATCTGGGCCTCTCGCTCATTGGAGACCGGGACTTCGAGCGTACTATTTGATCCCCAATAATCCTCGTTAGTGTTAAACGAACTCTGTCTGGGCGAGAGGAGCTCATCAAGGAAGCAGAGAGATTTGGGTCGAGGCTTAACAGAACGTGCCAGTCGGCTGGAATCGCCTCCGGCTTCTTCGACATCCCCCAAGCTCCCCTTCCTGTGCCGATACTCTCTTCACTATAAGCTTCTCCGATCAGCCCTCGTTTGGTGAGCTTCCGTGTATGTAGTCTTGGTCTGTTTCCTCGATTACTAGTACTTTAAAGCGGGACTTTCGGAGGAAGGCGCGCCGGGTGTATGTACATACATAGTCATTAACCCGTAGAACCGACCTCCCCTCCCCCGGGGTCCATCCGGGAACCCCTTGGGAAAAAAAAGCTGCCAGACGGCATAGGACCCTGGAGACCCCCTATGACGGCATAGCATTTTTTTGGGGACCCAGGCAAGCCCACCCAAGAGGGGGGGGGGGTACTGAAAAAGTCGGGATTTGGGCCAAATTCATAGTACAGTGGGTGGACCGTTATTTTTGGCTGCTTGTTTTGGATCCCAGAGCTTCAAAGCACCAGATTAAAGTCATGAGACTTGGTCAAGTGGTGCATAATAGGTTGCAAAAAATGAATATGAAAAAATAAAAACAAAAAACAAAGTTTCAAATTTTGTGAAAAATAAAAAATAAAAAAGTTTTTTTCCAAAAGCTTTGTTATTCATTTTGAGGGAGTGGGAGTGCTGAGAGAAACAAAGAGTGGAACATGGCAAGAATGATTATAAATGAAAAAGATTGGAACCAAAAAAGGTTGATCCAGGTTGGTTGTCCAGATTGGAGTCAAAACAGTAAATTCTAGTGCTTTACTGCAATGTGAGCTGGTGAATGCCCCACTCAACAACTGTTTAAAAATATATGGTAACCACTTTTTCCAAAATTTTCATTTATAATCATTCTTCCCATTTTCCATTCTTTCTTTCTCTCTGCACTCACACTTCCCCAAAATGAATATCAAAGCTTTTGAAAAAAATCAATTTTATTTTTTATTTTTCACAAAATTTGAAACTTTGTTTTTTGTTTTTATTTTTCCATATTCATTTTTTGCAACCTATTCTGCACCACTTGACCAAGTCTCATGACTTTAATCTGGTGCTTTGAAGCTCTGGGATCCAAAACAAGCAGCCAAAAACAACGGTCCACCCACTGTACATACATACCTGTTTTTTTGGGAAATTCATGAGAAATTAATTATACAGTGCGCATCACCTCTTCTCAACCACCCCCAGGAGGGTGTTCCAAATTTTTCAAAATGGGAGTTGAATTTTTTTGAATTTTTTCACTTTTTTTCAATGCCATTTTGTTTTTTTTTTTCTTTGAATTTGATTTTTTTTTTGAGAATTTTGTCCATACAAATCAGCAGACAAGACACAATCAGCACAAGGCCATGTACAGAAACCAAAACGCTTGCAACAGCCAAAGCTCCAGCCGATTGAAATCATTGATGAGAACTAATTGTTGCATTCCAAGGGCTGCAATGATGGATGTTTCAATTATGACTGCAAGTTAGCCGGACAACTGGCACTGAGTTTTCTTATTTTCTTCTCCTTCTTCCCTCAATATCATGTATTTAGATGGTCTATTTGCATAATACATACCATATAAATACATATTGCATACCCACTAGGCCATAGTATGGCCTTTTTCCATGGGTGTTCCAAATTTTGAATTTGAAAATTTCAAACTTTTTTGTCTTGCATGCTACACAATCTTGCTATATATCTTTGAATTCCACTACTTCTGTAGAGCTTAGAGCTCAAATATGCATTGTTTACACATGTAGCATGGTTGGTGTGAACAAACATACAGATCAAAGTTCAATTTTTTTTTTGCAGGTGCGGGGTAGTCGAGAAGAGGCAATGCGCACTGTAGGCTTAAAAGAAGGGCGTTAATAAAAACACGCGGTAAATCCGCGTTTACACGCGGTTTCTGCTGCGCGCAGCACACGCGGATTCCGCGTTTGCACGTGGTTTTTTATTTAATTTTTTACCGCTTATTTTTCGACTTTTTTTGGATTTTTAAAGTTGTTTCCCATGTTTTAAAGTGTGTAGAATTTAATGGTCAAGTCAAATTTTCATAAAAATGACTTTTAATTATTCATTTTTTTTCCACTCATTTTTTCTATTAATTGTGTGCTTACATGTTTGTACCTTATTTTTTATGTTTTTTTGAACTTTTAAATTTATTTCCTAGGTTTTAATACGTGTAGAATTTAATGATTACATCCAATTTTCTCAAAACTCAATGGTTCATTTTTAATACTGAAATTTGACATTTTTTTCACTTAAATTTCTACAGGTTAATTTTCATTATTTTTTGACATTTAAAAATTTTTTCCTACACTTTGAGACATGTAAAAAATTATGGTAACAACCATTTTTCCCCAAAATGAAAACTATACCTTGAATGCTGCATTTGACACCGTTTTTTTTATTTAATTCTTCAATTTTTACTCAATTGTTTACATTAATTTCTTTACCTTATTTTTTATGATTTTTTGAAATTTTAAAGCTGTTTCCTACATTTAAAAGTGTTTAGAATTTAATGTCAATATTCAATTTCCATAAAACTCAACGGTTCATTCAGAATACTGTAATTGGTCTTAAAATTCAATTGATTTTTAAGAGCTTAATTTTCATTATTTTTTGATATTCTAAATTTGTTTCCCACACTTTGAGACATTTTCAAAATGATGGTAACAATCACTTTGCATAAAAATGAAACTATATCTTAAATACGAATATAAATTCAAAAATTCAAAATGACTTCAATGGGGCTTGAACCTGTGACAGAGCTTGGAAGTACAAGATTCCCAAATGGTTCTTTGGAACAATTTTATTCATAACTAGTGGCTGGCATCACCTCGTTGGATAGGGTCTGGGGTCCAGGCTGATCATAATCTTGACTAAGAGTCTGCTTGTGCATGGAATTCTGGAGAAATGATCGGTGTATCCTGTCGATGATTGCGAGTGTTCTTCTTTGGTGTTTTTTATCTTTGGGAGACATTTGAATCAAATTCTCTTTTCCATGTATCAATAGGAAATAAATAATTAAATAAAAAAACAGTGTCCAATGCAGTATACACGATGTAGTTCTCATTTTGATGCAAAATGATTTTTACCATAACTTTATAAATGTCTTGAAGTGTAGGAAAAAAAATTTAAATTGTCAAAAAAGAATGAAAATTAAGCTGTAGAAATTTAACTGAAAAAATGTGTCTAATTTCATTATTAAAAGTGAACCATTGATTTTTATGTAAATTGGATCATGCCATTAAATTCTACGCACATTGAAACCTATACTATCCCATGATGGCCAACTTATTTTTTCAAAAAAAAAAAAAAGAATAAGAAAAGTCTGCTTGATGCTGGGAGGAACCCCTCCCAGCCCCAAGACTTGTACGGTCTTAAGGTCGGAGGAATGCCTCTGACCTTGAGGCAGCGGTCCCAGCGCCAGGAGGAACCCCTTCCGGCAAGCCTCTGTTTGTTTTCCAGCTCCTTGGGAGGGGTTCCTCCCAGCGAGCCAGTATTTAAACCTGCTTGTCGGAAGGAAACCCTTCTGATGAGCTGGTCTACATACCTGCTTGTTGGGAGGGGTTCCTCCCGGTGTGGTAAGAACAATCAAACCCCTACCACATAAATAAAAACACTTTATTACACATAAATAGTAATTAAATCATTAGAGAAGAAGGGGTAGATTAGGAAATAAACCACATAAATATTACTGGGCTAAATGGTAGTTGAATTAAATCACGAACCAGGCCTAAGATATTCAATTTCTCATAGATAAAAATTATACAAATAACCTGTAGAACTATATTACATTCATCTTAGACTAGTAAATCAAGCTACTGATCAGAAAGTACTTCACAGACTATCTCCAGAAAATAACTCTTATACCAATTAGTCTAAGAATACCATTCTCATAGTAATTAATCTAAGAATAGGCCTTATATAGTAGAAACACAACCTCTTGTATTAGAAGGGCACTTAGGGATTGATTCATATCAGATTAGGCTGTCTCAGAATAGTAAAATCCACTCTAGAAGCACCCTTCTCAGACGAACTTGTGTTCAGGCCAAAAAGCTCATGTACTGTAGAACCATTTGTCTATAAATAGAGGCTCTCCTGGCCCATGTTTTCCTCTTCCCTCCTCATGTTTGCACCAGAGAAGTAATTAGAGATATTACTTAGCACTCATCAAAGCCAGATGCTAGCTACAGAACAGTAATAAGAGATATTACTCAGCTTTCATCACCCTTCGATTAAGAGATCCAGAGATTATAAGAGCCCTTGAACTTCCCTTACCTCAATTTTGGCCATAGAAAAGTAATTCAGAAATATTGCTTAGCCATTCTCACCTCTCTGAAAGAAAATAGAGAAATAAGCGTACCATTTATCAGAGCCCAGAGAAACCAGAGAGTTTTATTAGAACAGAGAACCCGAGAGAATTTATATCAGAGAAACCCTTCAGAACCCTTACTCCCCAGAAAACCCCATAAACTCCTTACCCCCTCAACAGGTATTCTTAAGCAACAATAACAGTAGTATCAACACTAAGATAAATTTAGAAATAAGCCACACTCTTATTTTTCTTCGTGTAACTTTCCCGCAAGCTAGAC